CTAAATAGTTTTTGTTAGAACAGGGTACAGAGGCTTGAGTTATGGTTACATCAAAGGGTGGATTGATGAATCAAAATTTTCCGCTTGCATCTACTACAATGGATATGGGAATGCTCGAATAAGAGTTACTTAAATTAATGAACTGTAGGTATATTAAAAAAAAAAACCCTTAGCTAAGGCTGAGTAGCATGCCTGAGTGTAGGCTGAGTCATAAAACAAAATAAAGTATTTTTCAATATTTACATTGTAATTTTTGAATTATTATAATTTTAAACTATATTTTTCGTCATATTGCACCTTTATTTGAAGAAACTATGTTTCAAAACTACATCTAACTTGTTTTCAATTTAATTTGCCAATGAAAATAAGCGGTTGTTTAGTAAGTGATTCATTCGTTTCGTCTATTACGATTGTGTTACATCACATTATACCATCGATATGTCGAGCAATCGACAACAATAGGCTAAAACCTTACCTAATAAATCAAATAATTAATTTTGATCTATACGATTGCCGCAATCAAAATCACAACTGTTTATAACAGCTGATTTTTACTCCCTAGAGACTAAAAATCATTTTTGCTCCCTAGAGAGTAAAAATGATACTTGAGACCCGCAACAAATGCGTTAAAACGACTGTTTTTGCTGCAGTATGACGAAAAGTAGATTTGCACAGGTGTATAATATAGTAGTGCACCGGATATTAAGCGTTTCAGTCAGTATAAATTCTGTGGATCCTTGAGATAAATGCCACAATTTAGGACAGAGAAGAGCCAAAGCTAATCAAGAAATTCAATTCCACCTCTGACTAAACCAATTCCGCTTTAATGACGCAAACAAAGTCAGATTAAAACATAAACTACCAACTTTTGTCGTTTGTAACAAAACAGTGCCAATATAGGTTAAATTAAAATCTTAGTAGTAGGTTCTCAGTGTTAACCTTCACAAATATGATGGAATACTTTGATACTTTACTTTAAAATGGCTACCATACAAATGTAGGTACCTAGCAATTGTCAATCATAATTACAAAACATTCGTGACGGAATAACATTACATTGTGCAATTCTATAACATTGCAATGTTAGCATGATGCAGTACAAAATATTTTTACAGTTTTACGAACAATATTTGTTATATTTGTTGTAGTAGTCTATATTTATCAGAATTATGATTATGTAATGGGGTTGTTTTACTTATTCCGTATTGTCTTATTTAAATTTTTTTTTCTGTTTGAGTAGCTGGTATGATGAAAAGTACTATTCGAGATTCGCCCAGGAACGGTGCTTGCATAAAATCCCGCGCTCGGCTCTTACATTTAACACCTACTTCCAGCTATATAGCGTAATATACTACGTATATGTACGTGTAACTAAAATCACGCTTTTTTACTTTATTTATCTACAAGAGTTTAGGCTTATTTCATGAAGCCTAAATAGCTATCTTTTTGCTAAAGAATGTGGTAAGCATCGAAATTATTCATATGATGTCAAAACTGTAGAAATATTTTTTTATCATTATGTTTTTTTCCATTTTTCACATGCAACTATTGAAAATTTCAACATTGTAACTTGTTATCTTAATACGTTATCAAAGAACTAGTTATTCAATACACCTAAAATATAAAAGAAACCCAGAAGTGGAATAATTCTTTTAGCTGCATAATTTTGCTGCGTTAGCAGTATACATGCTAAAAGCTATTGCAATTGAGAACACTCCTGGTATTAGACAATATTTATCTATTCCAAAAAGACTTCTACGTTGACAATGCTTATGATTGCAACATTATAAGAAATTATTATTTACATTAGAAGCAATAACAGTTTTTTCACTGGCAATATCACCTGTTAGCATGGATGATCTGATCCCAATACATTATTGATGTCCGTGGATCTCCTGCGTCCTAACACAGGTTTATGTTTTAAAGATAAACCTACCATTATTTCTACCCACCTTTTGATAGCTCGTGGGTTTGTTTTTGTTAGTTGATTTATGAAGAAGGTAAGCTTAGTGTTTTGTCCTTTGATTCAATTATCTGCTGAACCTTTAAAGTCTGGCTCAAATCTATTCTTCAATAAATTATATCAAAATGTAACCTTGGTTCACAGTTGCCCAGAAAAAAATATTATTATTTATTACATAAATTGTATTGTCTTATAAAATATTGCATACTCTTTGCTTGAGTTGTTTGCTGTTTCGATTTTATTTCGGCATAAAACCGAAAGAGAATTAATGACAGTTAAACATTTGCTATTATTTAAATAAAAGTAAGATATTTAGATATGGTGAAAGGTCAAGTAGCCGCACAATTATTTAATTATTTTGCTTTATAATTTAACTATGTGTACCACTTGACAATACAAAATTAAATTTCAAAGCAATAAGTATTATTCTAATACTAGCAGAGTACCCGTACTTCGTACGGGGTTGGCATATATAAGTATAAAATGGTTATTGCAGTTACAATGGGGTTACAATGCAGTTACTCGAATTTTTGCGTTTGCAATGGGGGAGGCCACAGTTTAGCCATAGTGTTCTACCACTTCACCTAAACAATAGAGAAAAAATAAATTAATTCGCAAAATATCACAAATTGTCGTGAAATTAAAATCATAAACATAACTGTAAACAATCCTATTTTGACAGTTCTCATTGCTTATCACAGTTTTTTGTTGCTGCTTATTTAAAAGTAGCTGTTTTCATAAATGCAATAAATACAATAATAGTGCTTCACCCTGGTGGTAATCTTATAACTTTTTAATGCTTTTTCATATCATAGAACCAACTTTTTTAGTTGAAACAGCTGACTAAATTCTTTAATTCCCTTTAAATGTGATTACTCTTAAAGTTAACACGGGGAACTACAGAGGCACTGGGGCGGAGCCCGAAAGGATTTTTTTAAATAAGAATATGCCTATATTTTAATTGGGAATGTGAGCTATCCATCATACCAAATTTCAGCCCAATCCGTCCAGTAGTTAATGCGTGATTGAACTTCAAACAAAGAAACAAACACCCAAACTTTCACATTTATAATATTTGTAAGATAAGATAAGATGTTCATTTCATCAATTCATCAAAGAAATTAATTCAATTACAGTATTATAATATAATAAAACAGTTTTTTTTTATTTAATCGAAGTTTTGTTAATAAGTCCTGTTTCCTAAAAATTTCTAAAGTATTATTTTATCAATAACAATGAAAATAAGTTTACTTTGACTTTTCCAAGATTGATTAGTAGTTTAAAGTCAGTCAAAAAGTGAGTGTAATTAACTAAAGAACCATTTTTACTGTATTTGAACCCACCTATATGAGAATAGAAATTTTAATTCCGCCATTATAAAGATAATAGTAAAAAAAACTCCAAGGAGGAATCGTTCCAGTATATTATTAAAGCTGTGTCAAAGATAACGAGATTGCTAACAGTTATTGGTGGTTTTATGAGAACACGTCAAAGTAGGCGTCGTAGAGCAAACTTGATGTAGCTGAACTGAACCTGCTGAGTTGGTTGGATTACTACTGAGTACAACAGCCTTGAAACTTACATTTGCTCTCATATCTGACTTATTGTAAATAATAATAGTTAATTCAAAATATGAATGCTGTATTCATTTTGATAACATTAAAACGAAAAATATAAGACATTAAATGCAAATTAATTTTAAAATACATAAGTAAAGGCATAAATACTCTCCTTGTATAAAATACTAGCTACTGTACCCTTGCTTCGCAACGGGAAGATGGACTGTACTACCTAATCCAAACACTTGTTAAGTTGTTCGAATTTATGAACAAAAAGCTACCAAACTTGTAAAACCAACATTGTAATTGTTGTACTGTTTATGAAAATATATCAAAAACATTATTTTCATAACTTATACACTTTAGAATAAATCGAATGCAAAGCAAGCATCGGTTATAGAATCTTTTATTAATTTCCATTATCAATTACGTAGTTTTTTAATAAACAAATCTATGTGAGAATTTTAGACTAAACAAACCTACCACAGTTGTGTAAAATATTATATTTAATTTGTTTGTATCAGATTTTTGAAATGGAGGAATATACATTTGGCAGTTCTGATTGCTTACATTGAAATATCAACGCAAAGGTAAACATTTTGCAATTTCTTATGCTTCCATGGAGACCAGTATTCACTTTTGAAACCCTCACCTCAAAACTTTGAGCATCCAAAGAAGGAATTGCCCGAGAGGAATTCAGGGAAGTAAATAGGCCTAAGACATTCCTAGATTTGTTGACCATCTTTGTGCTTAACTTTGTCTGTATTGGTTTGGTATTTAGCCGTGTCAGTCGCAAAAACAGACAGACAGACAGACAGACATCACCTAATTTTATAATAGTAAAGATATAAAGAAAATAGGTAAAATGGTCTGTTAATTTTTCAAAACGTACAATTTTATACAACCTAAACTGAGTATAGCTCTTTCAAACAAACTGGGATAATGTGTTTAATTAAAAAGAGAATAAAACCACCTATAAAACCTTAGCGGCCGTAAAGAGGGCTATTTGCTTAGCAACGCTTTAGAGACGAATTAACACTTAAGCCGTTTATGTCACTTGACTGCTACTGAAAACTTAGCTTTTATTCAAATTTTTAAAAGTATAATTTGCTTCTGTTTTAGTTTTTGTTGGATTGTGTAGCAATCGTATATATGACCATTAATTTATGAATAAACATTAATCAATTAATTAAATTTAACATTTTAATGTAGCTTGAAAAAAAAATTGGTAGGTTTATCAATAATTTTGAAAATCACTGATACGTTAAGTTATAAGGACTATTTAAATGGTAATTACGTCCATAGGATTATATCACAACAAAGAAATTTATATCAAGGAAGTTACTTTTGTAAAGACTGATACGATAAACCCATTTCATATTCATTCTTTCTGAAATAAAGTAGGTTGCGACGTGGTTTTCAATCGAAATGTCAACAGACAAAGGGCTATATTACAAAACCACTATATTGTAAAGAGCTTTAAGAACAAGTATTTTAATAACTTAAGCGAAACACATGTTAACTTATTGAAATTGGTAAAGTTTTCTAATCCAGTGTGCTCGGACTGTCAAATATGTAGTACGTGAGGAAGTATAACACAAAGAACACAAGAAAGGCAGAAGGGAAGAAGACTCTAGCGACGGAGTCAATACGGCTGGGGTCTCTTGGTAATCTCTGAAGTAGCACTTGGTAGAAGGGGGGCTCCGTCCCCTGCACGGTGGGACTGCAGGGGGGCTGGGTGGAGTCAGTGGACTTTCGGACTAGTGGTTTCTAAAACAGGATAATAAATATGAAAAACTTTTTTACTCAAAATAACCAACATATGGCACTATACTGCAACAAAATAACACCAATCCGGTTAATATTAGGGAAACATTTTCTAGTACAGTATATTTAAACAAATAAATACACAATATAAAAACTTAAACACCCCTTGAAACAAGGTAAATTACGGAAACGGCTATACAGAAAGCATATTTGCAAGATAAAATATATACTATTCATAAGTTATATCTAGGCTGTCTACAAGTTAAAAAAGTAAAACTTTTAATTATGAAATAGGTTTTCACTTTCAGAGCATTTGACTAGTGAATGCGATTATTGCGTCCAATCAGGCAGCATTTAAATCTATGGAATTATTTTATATTTTTATTTTCATATTATAATATTTTATACGACCCTTAAAGAAAAAAAAACCATTTAAAAATTTTTCTGGGAAGTGGTAAAAATGCATTCATAAGATCATATGCTTGAGACGTTGCAGAACTTTCTATAAATTTCTTCAATTTCAATTTTATTAGTTATTAACTTATTTAACATACAATTCTGACGAATTCAGTAATCTTTGATACTGTATTTATATGCCAAAAGGTTCATTGCTGGTGATACACAGCAAAAACCGAAATTTCTTCCTAATTGGATTTGTCTTGTTTATAAAAAAGTATAACTTCTTCATTTTAATTATTTACAAAAAAATGGATGGATAGTGAATAGATTGGCTAAAATGAAATATTGTTTTTCTATTCCGAAATTACTACTTTTGAAGTTTTATGTACTAAACAATCCACATGGCATGTCAAGTGTATTTTCAATAAAATGATATCGCAATGTACTATTTACTAACAAGAGACTAAAAGTCGGCTGAAAGAGTAATAGTTTTAAACAGAGTTCTCTGTTTTCTAAAGGTTTTAGCAAAGTAAAGGGTCAAAATGGAAATGGTCACCCCTCGAACATTTTATGAGGATGCTAAGTGAAAAACCGTGTAGGTCACATTCGATATCGACTGGGGCCGCTTGTGGATTTGAGAAGCCTCTCTATTTCGTCCACTACAAAATGGTCCCTTTGTTAGCTTGTAGTTGATGAGCTAGATAAAACACCAAACACGGGTTATAAAGTTAGTTTGAAAAATAATGCAAACACCAGTAATTAAATTTACACTCAAATAATTCACAAGGTTTACACCTCTTTAGCAAAAAATATACGAATATACAAAACTAGGTGAAACCCGTCGAAATCGACATACTTTCAACCTCACGCTAATTTATCTAACAGCAAAAAAAAAAAAATTGAATGAAATTTTACAAATTTTGAGTATTTAGCATTGTTTAATGAGTAATAACAAGCTTGCCTATTAGTTAGCTTGCGTTAGTTCCAAATATGGTTGATCACTCAATGAATAAAATACTTTCAATTATATACGTAATCGGAGTTATTATTACCTATTATGTTAACTGGTTTCTCTTATTTTGGAAAACAACTTTAAATAATACTTTATATAATAATGATCGAATATTTTTCCAATGGTTGAAAACATGTAGGACAATGATCTCATGAACCTATGATGATCTGTCTTGAATGAGATGATAAAATATGGGTAAAAGTGGTCAAAAAGGCAGACACCAACCCGTGCAATAGATAAAGATATAAGATAATTCAATTAGGAATAGTTTAAGAGTTACTGAGGTATAAAGATTTTCCACTGATTTCGTAATGGAACGTTATATTGCAAAACATGACATGATGCAGGAAAAAATTGGGTAAGGGATGGGAAAACCTTCAAAAAAAAAAAAACCTAAAGTAGTTCAAAATATTAAATCCACATACCATGTCGACGGTGGTGGATCCATCATCGTTCCTGACCTCTCCTAGGGTAACCTCAGCATCGCCAGGGCTGGTGGCATTGATTATGGCAAACTCTACCAGCGCAGCGAGCAGAAATGTAAAGCAGACCGCTGCCCAGAGGTCCATGGCCTTGACGTAGGGGACGTGAGGCACGGAGGCCTCTATGTCAGTGGCGAGGGAGGACATAGCGAACAGCGTGGACAGTACCAGCAGGATACGAGCCACCACGGCACGACGGTCCATCCAGAAGGAGGCCCAGGACACGACCACCAGCACAGTGCTTGGGAGGAACGTGTGCAGAATGTAGTACTTGAGGTCGCGCTTGAAGTGCATCTCTGCCTTCAGACAACTGTACTCTCCTGCAGAGAACAGGGTCAGTTGGTGATGTTGCATTATAATACAAGGTAGATAGTGTGGAGACGCTGATTGAGCCATTGAGCAAAGTAAATGATGAAATTGTCTTGGTTACCACGCCGATAATTATAAATTACTAGCTGGCCCGACGGACGTCATCGACAGGTGGTTTTATGTCAAATGCTCGTTCATTTTCATGATGAGCTCGTTCGCATGGCTCAATCACGCTCTGGTTAAAGTTTGTTTGCTACGCTCACTCACCTTTAGGTTGGAGCTCGTTCGCTGCGCTCACTTGCCTTCAGGTTAGCTCGTTCGCTACGCTGACTCGCCTCCAGGTTGAAGTTCGTTCGCTACGCTCACTCACCTTTTGGTTACAAATAGCTGTTGTCATGAATTTACAAAAAATAATATTGCTGCACCCTGATGGTAAACCTATTAACTTTTTAATGCTATTAAACATCACAGAATCAAATTGTTTAGTGAATCAGCCGTTAAGATTCTTGAATTCCTTTTAAATATAAGTACTCATAAGGTTAACATGGGAAACTCCAGAGCCACTGGGGCGGAACCCTTTCTGCACCAAACTTCACACAAACCATCCTTTAATAATGCTTAATAATGCCTGAAAGTTTCATTACAATCTGTCGAGTGGTTTTGGAGTCCATAAAGGACAAACAAACAAACATATATTGGACTTTATATATATAGATGGCAAGGAAAATGCGCAGTGGACTATTGCTTTTTAGCTGATCATTTTTTAATAAAAAAAAATGCCTCTGTGAAGTTTCCACAGCCAATAAAAACTCTGTATTGTACTGTTATGCCCAAATGGCTGAAAGTAAACATGTGAACGTTTCCTACAGAAACACTATTGCATACTGGATAATGAATTCGTCTTAGACTAATTGTATATTATCTTAGCTAAAACACTTCTTATACATATTTAACCACTCTTACGGGTTTTCCAAAATTGCTACTCACATCAAAATTTTAAAAATAAAGAAGAAAATTAAAATCTAGGCTGTTTCAAGCTACCATTGCTCTAAGGCTATCAGTAGAATCAAGAATCAAGAATCAAGAATTTTTATTTCCACAAAATGCAGGGTTACATTACTGGAAAACATCAGTACAACTACAGCTAAAATAAAAACTAGAAACATGGTTCAGGTAGGAAAAAAACTCAGTACACACTTCTTTTATATTTAAGTAAACATTCCGATGCAATATTGTCAAATATACATAACCAAAATCTAAGCACAACAAACCAATCGTAAAATTGGGCGTTAGGAACTACTGGGTCTTAGGGCATTGGGTAATGCACTAGTGTATGGGTATACGAACAAGGTTTCAACCTTGAGTCACAAGGTGGGTCGGTTTGCTATAATAGTTAAATAGCTTTTTCTTTTGAAACCTATTGTGGGGCAGAAAAGTAAAGAAGAACACAGTACAGAAAATACACTTCAATTTTGCCATCTACTTTACTAAGACTAAAAATATCACTTATGATTAAATACAGCACCCCACTCCAAAACTCACTCATTGCAGTTTAGCAAACTTTACACAAACAAACAAAAAAGTTTCTTTGTTGTAATTCTTGTTTTTTTTTTTTTGTTTTTAGGGGGTTACCTTGGTAGAAAGTTATCTCTGGAACCTCTTAAAATATTTTGTCTATAACCGATCAGCTGTTTGCCTGCTTCAAAATCTTCAAGGAGTAAGTTTTGCTATGACACACCTGTAAAGATTGTGTTTTGGCATGTCACTCTCTGACACTCTCTGTAGAGTCACGTGACAATTTAGAGTAAAGTTATTGGCCAGATGGAATTTTGAAAGGCTACAAATTTAGGTGAACGTCATGAAAATAAAGCATTTTAATCGGCTGGTTGTAATGGTAGAATTATAAAAAGGATTTAAAATATGTTAGTTTTGGAAAGATACCTGATTTTCTACATTAAATTAGTAATGGAAAAATGGAGCTTTGAAAAGTTTTAATGTTAAAAGCGAATAAGAATTTTTCTAACGAATACAGTGATTGCAATATCTCAAAATTGAAAAAAAAATTCGATAAGTGAGTTTTGGAATGGAATGCCTCACTCTTGTTAATGTTGTTTAACCAACTGTTTTTGATTTTGTAAAAGTCTACGACTGAAGAACATACATGGAAAACCCTAATTGCGTATTTAAATTTGCCTACTAAATGTATTGTAATACATTACTGTCTAATGATAAAGGCTAATGAGCTAATGCTCTTAAAGAATAATATTCTTTAAATGTAGAAATTTTTGGCAATGTTAAAATAGGAAAAAGTGAAAAATCAATTGTTTCCCGGAGCAATAAACCAATCATAGATTAAAGTACACTCACCTGTGTTAGTACTGCAGGGAAATGACGATGTTAACACTTTTCCTAGTGTGAAGCCCATGATGTTGATATTGCTGGATACCTGAACAGCGTCTGACTCACGCCACAAGAACTTAACATCTGACGTAGTAGATCCGTCTGTGAACATAGTTAAATGACCATATACATTTCTTAACATGTTAAAGAATGTTGAAGACTAGCTAGAGTCTGTGCTAGATTTTAATGGGAATTCATAATATTCATTGCATCATGGAAAACTACTGCATCGTATTTTCGATTATAATTTGCAACAATACTCTGATGAACAGAGTCGATTGCCTTTAGATTACTACCTAAATATGTGGGAAAAATTAGTAAATGTATGTCTGTGTGTCATTTAGATATTATTAAACCTTTGCTCCATCGTGGTTATGTAGGCCTATGTTACTGAGAAGATATTGGTAAAATATAAATAAAAAGATTACATAGGTTTCCACATTTAATGGGTATTCTGAACTAAAAATTCGAATCTTCAGTAAAACATTGTTTACAGGTTTTCTGATGTTTATATGATCTCAAACTGGAACATTAACAACAGCTATAGGAATCTTCCTCTTTGATAAAGTGGAAGAATACTGGAACCTTCATGTAAGAGAGTTTTTAAACTACCATCAATAAGGTATGCTCAAAATTACCATTTGAGGTAGGCTTCCAAGTATGAATGGTGAAGAGTGTATGATGAGTGGTGCTTTTTGAAACCATCTGAATACGGAATACGATAGGAATAAAGAAAGAGTGACTTACAGGCCGACATATTCAAACTGCATACTTGGGTGTCAAAAGGGAAATTCTCCAACTCCATGTGACACCATAAGGTAAGAGAAAGTCTAGAAGGGACAAAACATAATTACTTTACTTTTTATTTTTAGTTTCCAAAACAGTTTATTTTATATTATTGTACAAAAAAAACCTTGGCTATGCAACTACGATTGTGAGCATATGTCTTAGATATAGAAACGGGAGTTTATTTTTATTATGTTCAGTTTTTTTCAAACAGCCCATGTTATTCCAGTGAAATATTCACTATTAAATACCTTTTTTGATGCTGTATTAAGTAGTTTGGATAATTTTCCACTTGGTTTTCACTGTTCTTCACGAGTTTTCCATACACATCCAAGGTGCATTGAACACAACAATGTAAAAGCCAAATAATTACTATATTAATAGTTTCAAGAGTTTTAGTCTTTGTGAATTTAAAAATACCCCCGCCGCAGCAAACCTGCAGACTAAGCGAATTTCAAATCGTCTGATTACATCTTTACTAAAATATTTCCATAAATAAGACATATTATTTAAATAACATTAGATTTAACGAGTGCTTAGGTTTGCTGCTACGGGGAAGGTAAAAAGTGTTTTTTGACCATACGTCAATAGTATAGGATGAAATAAATAAATTTGGCAAATTTTATCAATATATACCCATAAACAAGTAAACTACAACAATTTTCATTTTCTCCATAAGAATAACATGGGAATTTTTAATTACACTATTTTTGAATTTACTCCGTGACCGTTAGGCATACAACAGCATTTCAATATACTAAATTAATTCTTTTTTTAAGCTCTACAAAACGGTTTAGAAAGAAATCGCAAAATATTTTGTTTTTAGGTTCAAAAATGGGAAAAACCCATTTTTACCCCATAAAACCCCCCATAAACCTCCGTTCCCATGGTCCGATTATGCTGGATCGCGAACTCGTTTGAATAAACGTAGGTTTACACGTTTGTACCAAATTTCATCAAAATCGGATCATTTCTGCTCGAGTTATCGCGCTAACGGACACATATATATATATAAATATAAATATATATATATAAATATATATATGAATTTGAACGTATGGTGTTTTTGGTCTCTAGGGACCTCAAAATGAAAAATTAAATCGGTCTCGGGTCCAGGTCTTGCCATGAGTACTACGGTAATAGCTTATTCCCTATATGGGAAATTCGCTAAAATACAATAACATTAGTTACGCTCACAAAATCTGCATACAGTAGTAACACTATTGATAGGTGTTTTAATTATGAATTATCAGAATACCTTGCACTGTAGAGTATGTGTCCAGATGGATATATCCGTACAAAATGATTCGGAGACATTAACTTGTGGAGATGGCTGTCCTTTTCGTTAGATATAAAGATGTCCGGGGTCCATATTTTGGCAGGATCAGTAAATGTAAGGTAGTTCAAATATTCTGGAAAAAATAAGTCAGAGGGTGAATAAACAAGTTTTAAAGACTATATAAATTTACTATGACATAAAAGTGTGAGATTTGATATATACGAGCATTTGTAAGGTAAATTAAAAGGATATTGATAGAGGGAATTCTATTAAGGCATGTGTATAAACTTTACTTCAGTAAACTTGTAACATTGTTATACCAATGGTAAAGTAGTTATGCATATTTGTGGTAAAACCAATCTGAAAGCTTATATCTTAGAACTCGACATTTATTAGAGAACAGTAGACAACCGCAAGAGGCTATATCTAGCAAGTTGCAGCCAAGTTAGAAGCAATGATAATGACGTTGTTAAATGTCAACATGCGTGTAACAACTCTCTCTGTTAACTTCCTTAAGCCATTTGGGGTTTTGTCAGTTAATTAAGATAAAGGCTTTGAAATGGGATCATGAATGTTGATTTTAGTATGACTGATTTCGTGTAGTTTTGTGAACAATTGGTAATAAGAGTGAGATTTATTTCTTAACTTAGCTAATAAGTACAGGTACTCATAAAAATATACAGAACCTCTTCGGAAATTGGTAACACTTTTTTATCCAGTTTAGGCACAGAATAAGTATTAGGAGATATTTGACGGCGTGTAAATGTCATTTGTTTCCAGTCTAGAATAACTTTAACGCAAAATAACCTTTTATTTCTTTTAATGGTTTTATGATTCTGCACTTCTAAATCTACTTATGATTTATTTTGAATGTTTGTTTTGATATTTGTACCTTTGTCCTTGAACTGAAGCCTCTCATCAAACCACTCCTCTCGCAACATTATCTGAATACCATAGTCCTGAAAAAAATGTAGGCAATTGTATCTTACTCTATGTATGTGTATATTACTCTAGGTCTATGGCAATATATTAAAAAGGAGTTATAGTTTTGATTGAAACTAACGATTAATGAATATGTCAGTTGGTTTTGACTGTGTAGGTGTAACACATTATAAATGGAGTGTTAGAAGAGGTTTAAAAAAACACCTAAAGTGTTTTATACTTATTGGGTATATGTTTACAGGAAGCAATAATTTGAATACGAGATAATATGAATATACTTTAAAAATATCAATTCAAAGAGTTTAAATATTAAAGGCTCAGTTACAAATTAAAATTATAATTTTTTCTAATTTAAAACGAAGAATGTTCTTTATTACTGTTCTTAAGAACAATATGTAAAGACTAAAATTTCTGAATAGGTAATGAAACGAAATTATAATTTGTTTTACCATATCGTAGTCTGAGATGCTATTGATGCTCTTAAGCCTCATGTTCACCTTCACGATAACAGGTGCATCTAAAATATATAATATACGATTAATTAATTCGTTTAATTCATTGGCATTCTATCCAATGAAAACTAAACAAATGCATTTTTTTTCATTCATTCTATAAGATAACATATTTTAAAACCAAAATTAATAAAGTGACCTTCAAAAGGCCTCCTTTAATAAGCAATTTTATTACATTTAGAAAATTCAATCTTAAGACATTGATGAAGATCTAGAGCTAATATAAATTTTTTTTTGTATATTCGTGCCATTGGTATTTATAAATTTTTCCTTAGGAGAAACTCAACAATAACGCACCCAAGTATCGCGTACTAACACTTACTATACTGTATTTTTGTTGACATATGTAGTTATAAGAGGATCTGTTTGCACTTTCTAGCTTTAAAGCATCTAACACCAAACAAAACATTATGATATGGAAAAAAACTACACAGAACTAGAATTGTGTAGCTATAGTTTCCTAGACCTCCACTAGATAACTTCTCAAACATTATGGGGAGGTTGGTACATGTAATGTAAACAGAATCTCTACGCACACTACTAATATGCACCGTTACATTTTCAATTTCAATTATAATATACTCTATGCAACCTTAACATAAAGTAAAACATTACCTTGTCCATATACTTAATAATATACGAAGAGTATTTGTGTACAATACCTGGAAAATTTTAAGAACAAACTACTTTTTCTCACCTTCTGTATTCATTCCTGATGGGCGAAGCTCTGGATCATAACTTTCTAACAATTTGTCAAGAAGCTCTTTCCTTTCTACTCGAGAGCTTGTGGCTTGCAAATGGCTCCTAGAAAGGTTGAGGTTAAGAAAGGTTGGCAGAATAAACACTTCGAGCACTTCGAGAACTAGCTGGAGCTAAAGCTACTTGGTAAAATCTCGGTGCTGAGACTAAGTTATTGAAAATTGTGAAATGTTTTGTCTGAGAACATATTGAATCTTGAGAAACAGTATTTGCACAAATTAATTAAATTGCAATCAAGAAAGCTTCATCCAAGTGCTAATGCATTTTTTGTAACTGTTTGTAAATTTACCAAAATTATTGTTCAGTGAATTTTAGTGATACTAACTGCTTTTCTTTGGGTTATGAAATCTTGTCGTAAATTTCTTTCAGCGTACACTAACTTCATTTTTATGAAGTGCGTGAGTAATTTCCATATATGCTATTTTAGATAAACTACATTAATATGTAATGTATTAATAAAAACACACATAAATAGTTGCATAAAGTTAGTAGTACAACTTACCAATCGATTTCTAGGAACCCTATTAGACATAACACCAAAAGTCTTGCCGTTTTCATTGTAACTACAACTTCTCCTGAAAACAGAACAATACATTTTAATAGTATTTTATTACAATAAATTACGGGTGATAACTTAAAATGTGATACAATAATTCATTAAAGCTAAATTTAAATTAATAAACGTTTTAATGTATTTTTGTGTGCTATCTTTGATTGAAGCTGCACAAACAACCTACCTTACTAACTTACCTTATATTCGACCTTTATTTTGTAATTGAATTTGGACATAGTGCTCTGCTATATACTTTATTAATTTCTCCCGCTATACATAGCGCTATACATAAGGGGAAAGTATTCTTTTCGTAAAAATTTTTGAGTTTGAGTTTTAAGTGGATATACCCGTTTTGGATTCCTTTGGAACCAAAAAAAGTGGTTTTCGAAGTGATGTCTGTGAGTGTGTATGAGCGTGTCTGTATTTGTGGATGTGTACAGAGCTAAAGCCTACCTGTGGTCCGATATTTATGAAATTAGGTAAGAAAGTTCCTAATCTATGGTACCTCCAGGCGTTTTTTCATTTTTAAAATTTTTTCAAATGGTGGTTTTCCCATAAAATAATGGAAAAATCCGATTTTCTCGAAAATGGCCAGTAAATTTTTGGAAAAAATATGTTTTAGCCCTTTAAATTCTGCACAAAATGGAGACAACTCATTCCTGTAAAAATTATAGTTCAAAAGTTATAAATTTGTTATTTTCAGATAAAACCCATGAAAAATTAAAAATAACATTTTCAGAAAAACCGACTCTGATCGAAAAATGTCCGTTATTGTCCTTATAATTCTTAACAAAATTGTTCAACCCCTCATTCTTGTAAAAATTAAGGTTCAAAAGTTAACGCAACTTTAGTGATTTAATCTTTTAAATATCATAGTTAGGTAGTTACATTTATCGCTTACCCATGATAAAGGTTGTTGACAAGCTAATGGGAGAAAGCATGTGTCAGATTGCTGATACCGTTTATTTTGTTGTTTATAATGCCTTACTTTTAGCAATGCCAAACAAAAGTGAATGTTTTTCGTCAACTGTATTAATCCGAAACGTTTATGAAATGTTTTAAAGAAACAAACAAACTTGAGAACTTTTTTACGAGTAAAAACAGTCATATCCGTAGGAGGGACTTGTACGCCAAATGCGTGATTTAATGGGTTCAAAACTTATTTCCATGGCAAAAAGAATTATGCAATGCCCTTTTACTTTTTAAGATTAAGTTTGTTCAATGTAAGGAGGTAATTTGGTAAATTACATACTAATTCACTATACATATTATTTGTTAATTTTATATCCACACCATTAAGAGTAATTTAATTGTCTAAATGAAGTTATGATTGTAAAAAGTAGCCTATTTAAAATTATAAACTGTACTCATCATAAACTGTTTTTTCTCTTGTTTACGATTTAACTGTGGGGGGCAAAGCCCAAAAGAAAATTAACTAACTTAGCTAAATGCCTATTACTTTCCTAAATGCCTTTTTGCACAAAACAACATAATAATTACATTTTTAGACTAATGGTTAAACACAACTATTTTAAAAATGCCACAATGTTTCCTGATAACTTTTCTTAAACTTATTTGATTAACTGCTTACTGCCCACTATAATAATTGTGAACTAAGGAATTCTGAAAAAAAAACAAGAGGCAAAACGTAACACTAAAATACTTAAAAGACATGTTTTCAAGCTAAATACTCACTTTATATTAAATGGCAACCCAGTCATCCTCCCAATGGAATATCACTAAATCTAAGAAGACATGTTGTATGAAATTTAAGGAAAATAAACTTTTGAATGAACACTTACCAACCTAGAGTGTGTGAAGAAGATGCGTGATGATCCTGTCACGATCCTGGCCTACTGATTGGACCATTATCCTATTGGGACGTTGTGTCTACACCCATAGTAGCGCATGCCCAAGGACCTACTGTGCTGTGGCTTCTATGTTTATGGTCCAAGTCTTGAAGACATCACCAACATTCACACAGGTGGTGTATTTTGGATTAATTGAAAAGTATTTTGGGTTTCAGAAATCTATGCGACAAGTTTATTGGAAGCACAATGGTGATAAAGAAGTGGAACTGCAATGTTTTAATTTGGAATTTCGGATTTTTTGTCACATTTTACTAACCATCATTATTAATCGTAAAAACATTTGATAAGATGCATTATTGTTCTGGGCTTGAAAAGCTCTTTGCAATTATGAACATTCCTAAACTAAAATAGTAAAAATTAGATAATAATCTAAGAAACTACTGTGTGATTACTTAACTTTTTTAACCAGTGAAATGTCGATTTATTGTTTAATATCATGTGTATGGAATGTCAGCTGGTCTGCTTGTAGAGCTCAGGGCTGCAGAGCCCAAGGTCCCGGGTTCAAATCACGCCAATCGTCAATGGATTGTATCCATGTGATAATGCCACGAACATCTAGGGCTAGCCTAAAGTAATGTGTAAAACAGTTCCGGGCTAGAACCTAGTATCATAGGATGTGAACAAAAAATTAAAATGTATCCCTATGCATGAATTAGCTTAAAATCAGTTGCGTAATTTAGATTCACAATGCATACAAAATAATTTAATTCCCGAGTAAGCAAATGTGTATTTACCTTTGGAAAATCTTAGAAAAATACATGTGGTATGGGTAAAGTATGGAGAAACGTGACAGGTAAAGCATTCACGTAAATGAGATGTGATAGATCGTGATATAAAGCGTAACAAATCACATAAAAGTGGCGGGAGTTAGCAGCGAGTAGCGTCAACACTGCTACTGTACATACGAGTTGGGTTGTTGGATTTCCACGTTTGCGTCTAACAACCTCACGTCTGCATTCTTACACTTTATCCGTGATTCAGACATAACAGATCATCTACGTAGCTGTAGTTATGTGTTCTACATTTCTGTTGACCTACTTACAGACGTGCACTAAAACTAATTTCTCGGCAAATCTCGCTTCAATGACACCAGAGTTCTCCTCAATAATCGCAACAATGACTTTGACTAATTTGGTTGGAGAGAAGAACTGTTTGGAGAGTTTTACATATTTTTCATATCCTAATATTTAATGAATAAGGAGCACTGTATGTATGTGCTCTGTTGTACAGTGAATATGATAACAATAGGTTTTACGAACTTTGGTTGTTCATGGTACATAAACTAAATTAGTTTGACGAATGTCATTGTTATGTCCTGCTGAAAACGTATAGGGTTGATTGGATCATAACATTTATTTAATTATTATTCTATGGTTATAAAAATCGTAAAACAGATAAACATATAATTTAGAACATAGATATTTAAACTCATTGAACTGATAAAGCAACATCAACTCAAAATCAAGCAACATCTATTTGATTTGTATTAGTTAAGTAAGGATTTTAGTTATAGTCGTGGATTTTTATTCAAGTATTTCCAACTGCATACATTTGAATATTTAAATAGGTGCAAACTGATGGGGTTGACATGAAAATGTTGTTTAACCTATTGGCTGTATAGCAATATATGCACCAAAACGATGCATATCATACACATATCCGCAGACTTAAAAGTTATCTTGCTCCATACACATCAAATGCTCTTTAAGCTTCAGGTAGTCATAAATATATAAATAGAGGGACTAAAAAGCCACTGTATTTTAGTGTAGGGTTTGTGCTACTACGATAACTTGTTAGTGTGTAATACTGTACCTGCATTTCATCCGATATCATAGGATTGGTGTGATACAACAAACCCATTTGATTGAATTACATACTAGACAGCTAAGCGCATATAATAGTCTATAGATTCTTAAAACCACAGAGTGAATGGACGACGGAAAAACGTATTTCTTCATGGATCAATAACGATCTAGAAACATCTTTTGTTTGAACGTTGATTGTTAATTCAATCAGCAAGAAAATATTCTACAGAGACAATCAGACTCTCAATCCACTGATTAAAGCTGGAAATGAAAATCTTATTTACTCTCTTGATGATTAAAAATTTACGCTGTTCCTTTGTAAGAAAATCCAACTGCGGTAATAGGAAATTGGTTGAGTTAACACGCTTATTTAATTTGTAGATAGTTAAACTATTATTGCACTAATTTCTAGGGTGTGCCAAATTCACTTACCTAAAATTAATAATTTGATCCAATGTAAATAGCTTATCTATATATTTAATACACAGTTGTAACACTGTTTTCTCAGTTATTACTGGACCGATCTACAAGATGTATGTCACAAATTAAAGGATATAATGCATAGATTTGCCGAACTTCCTTAGAATTTACGTTTTTTCTAAGGGCTAAGCACTACAGCCCTTCAAAGGTCGAGTCAATACAATTCTTATGGAAGATTATAATACACAGTTTATAAATGATTTGTCAGCTGTTTAATGTTTGTCAGACATTTGTTATTATTTTTATAACCTCACTTTTGGTATGTAATTATTAATCTAGAAGTTCCTGTTATAAACGGACATGATTTCGATCAAGGAAAAGTGTATTTTGTTAACTTATTATACCAAAATGTGTTATTTAAACAATATTTGTAGCCTATGTTTTGGTGTAAATTTTGTATTTTCGTATAGGTACTGTATTAGTTTTCCTGCGAACTGATTTGAAGGAAAGTGCTAATTGATTTTAGGTTTGAGTATGGAACATGAAATAATACCCAAAGTAGGGGACGAAAGGTTTGAGTATGGAACATGAAATAATACCCAAAGTAGGGGACGAAAACTGTTTATTCCGATCAATATAATTTATTCCCTACGGCTACCAGAACAATCATAGTGAAATCCACTTGCAGGTTGTGTAGAAAATTGCTTATGTGTGGGAAACATACAAACATTTTATCATTGGTGATCAATATTACTCAAGGTAAGTGTTTGGCGTTAAGCAGTACCAAACTTTACCTTCTGGAGATGGCGATTACGAATACGTGTAACTACAATATAAATTTGTATTTTCGAAATATCTGTTACTTTTCATGCAAAATGATCCAAAGGAAAGTGGTAATTGAGTTTGAGTTAGGGAATGGATGGAACGTGAAATTATACCTAAGATCTTACAACTCTGCATTTGCAATGGTGAGTGTATAAGTCTCACTTAGATGAATCATCATTCTGGTAGTATAGGCCTATATAATTTTAAGATCCGGGGCTCCGTTTACCATCGGATTCGTTAATACCCTCTAACATTGAACCAAAGTATGCCCAACTTTATATTATAGCCTATACGACGTATACGCAGCTGTTACTTACAGAATGGGTCAAAGATCCGTGAAATGCGGCCAACTGCTGATGCGTGATTTAAATTACTATCTTTATTCCGCACAACGAATGTAATGAACAAGAAAACAACGAAAGTAGGAATATAAAATAACAAATTATCTCCATAGCATAAGTAGCTTATTAGGTTATCAGCATTGTGCAGTTCATACACCATTTATTTTTCAAATGTAACTCGAATTAATTTAAAACATTCATTTGGTTAAACTAATATATTGGTTTGATTAATATAAATTGTTTATACAGGCCCAACTATCCGTTCTACTTCATATAAAAAAGCAGTCCCTAAATAAAATACAAAGATAAACAGTATTTGTTAATTATTAATGTCTTTTATTTTATCTATTTTTTTTTCAATTTCTAATATTATTATTTCCTGATAGCGGAAATCTCTCACGCACGGGTAGTAGCCTATGTGAGAGGCATTTCATATTTAATGACGTTAGTATATTATTTTATTTATTTATATCATTGCATAACTATGAAATTTTTACTGGCAAAGTAAGTAACTATGTATTTACTTACTGAAATAAACATGATTTTGATTCGATTTTATTTGATTTGACAATATTCCCGTGGCAGAGCACGGGCGGCTAACTAGTGTCTGTTTAAAGCCTTGGAGGTAAGCTTTAACATATACATGTGTTTCAATATACACGTGCATGGTATCTCAGAGTAATAATGGTATGTATAGAATCTTTACATGACATTCCATTATTCAATGATGTAAGGAAACATCAATAGTCTACTCTGAAGGTTAGGTCTTACCCTTTACTTGTAAGTATCAGTAATCACTTAAGCTATTTAGTTAGATAACTACCGGTGCTACATCTTGTATCAACGTAGTATCAAATATATTGTAGTTTGGAGTGTTTTTGTTAGTTGTTAAATACTATCCTTGTACTTACAAAGCATTAACCCTGTTTAGTATGTTTAAAACAAACACTGTCTGTAAAATTAATGCAGTATGGGGTATAGTTATTAGCTTTTTAAAATTATTTGTGGACCAAGTTTCAAGAACAAAATCTTTCTGTACTGTCGAAATTGTTCTTGATTGTAGGCTATTTAGTAGTACTGATAATTGTCGATTTTGTCAATTACATCAATTTATCTACGTCGTTGAAATTATGACTTGTATCATTAAAATATGAAAATTGATTGTGGTAACTCGGAGAGGGATATAAGACTGAGAGAAAGACCGTTTTGACCACAGCTCAAACTTTTGAGAGTGAAAAATCATGTAGTGGTTATTTGGTTTTAGCTAATTGTATTTTATTCTTGTTTTATAAGCCTTTATACGGTGTAAAAATGCTAACTTAACCAGGAAAATGCGTTTTTGAGATTAGCATAACAGTTCTTAACTAACCTAATTGAAAATATATAAAATATATATTCTTGGTCATCTAAATGATCTAGGCCTGTTTTAAAAGTAAATTCAATGCATTAATTTTTGGAATAACTGCGACTGGTTTAACTATTTAGATATGGTGAGTTTGTAAGATATCGAACGCCAGAAAATGTGTACTTTATTTTGGGAATTTTAGCTAGGGTACCTATGAAGAATTTTCGTTATGGAATGTGTATAATGGCTACGTCAATAATTAAA